GGTTTTCATGGACGTGAATTCGATGATGTGTGATGGGAGGCAAAAAAAGAAAAGGGTGTGTGGCTTCTGAAGTGCGCGTGCTTCCTTTGCGTTCATTGCCTTTCATAGTGGATGTCAACGCGTGCCACTTGCGAGTTTGGATAAATGTGTTGCAAGGACTACGGGGGAACCTTAAAGGCAAAAAACGCTAGGAAAATCTAGGAAATGGGCCTGTCTGTTGCCCAGCATCGCAGGACCGGGAAGCGCCCCTGCAAATGCCTTGTGGTTACCCTCTGTGAGGTGTCGAACCTTCATACTCCACTAAATATCAAAAATAGTCCAGGAACCAAATCATCAGTGCGAGCCATCCTGCGTCCAGTTGCTAGAAGCTAACTATATCGTCGCCCTTACTTAATCAATTAGGTGCCTACTTAATTAGGTAGGAGCGGGCCAAAAGAAAAGAGAAAGTAGTAGCCCATACTCCATGATATTCGATTCTTTGCCCAACTTCGAAGCGCGGTTGCAGCAACTTTTGCCAACGGGTCGTCAGCAACAAGCATGGCGCAGGGCAGCTTGCGCATCGTGGTACGCGCAGGGCAGAAGCACGACGCTTGGGAGATCAGGGCAGAGCATGGAAGAGCAAGGTCCAACTCCCTTGTTACCAGTGGCTTCTAGCTACTAGTAGTCATGCCCTTGCTACTAGTAGCGATGCTCTTGTTACTAGTAGCTTCTTGCTATGGAGTTTCGGCCCCCAAGAAGTGCCATAAAGCCATTCACAACGGGAGCGAGTCAAGGGATGGGATTGGGGGGAGGTATGTGGAGGGATGGTGCTATCCCATTGTGAGAACTCGTCTATGTTGCACAAAAAGAATTAAAAAAAGTAACATAGAAACTTGGATCAATTCACAACGGCGGAGGACTTGCAGCTTCTCCTCCCACACTTCATCCCTCAGCTCGAGCCCAGGCCGAAGTCTCAGCAAGAGTCGGGTCAGCAACAAAGGAGCCGACCTGGCAGCATGAAGCTTCTTGTCACTTTGATCAGGATGGCATGTCAGCAAGATCTTAAGCAAGAATCTGGGAAGACTCAAGTTTCATGTTAAGCATGCATGGCAAGAAAGTAGGACGCTCTGAGTCGCTGAGGTTTCGCAATACCCATCATGCTGTGATCTAGACTCGACCACGCCACCTTGTCAAGAAGTACCCAGAAGCCGAGCAGATTAGTGTCATGATCAGCAGGGACAAGAGCACATCCTGTGGACAGAGTGCGCAACTTCAACAAACCAGCAGAACAGTGCGTGAGCGCCCCGGTAATCCATTTTGCTCGTGAAAGAACTACTTCAAATGGCTCAATTTCCTTTTCGACCCAATTCTTGAACCCGCTCCTGCGCGGCGATTGGCCCGAATGCCTGACGCTCCGCAAAGATGGGCACCAACAAGGTGCCAAAGCCATACAAAATAGACCTGACAGGACTTTCATCACTTTTTCCCTTTGTCAAAAGAACTATATCATATCGCATTAGATGTTATGAGTATTATATATATAGAGAGAGAGAGAGAGAGTTGGTGGGGTCTCTTATGTTCACCTACACCTGTGGTGGGCATGTCGCAGGCGACGCTCGATCTCCATCCCGCTGCGACGATCGGCCTGGGCAACGAGGGAGCGGCGGAGCTTTCCATCGCGGATCGCAGCACCCTGAGAAGGAGCCTACTACTTTGCGCTGCCCCCCGTTGATGTGTGGAGAACATGAGGCGATGTGATTGATATCACTTTTCACAAGGAAGCCCGATGCTCAAAGACTTTCAGGAAGCCCGGGTCCTCTGCATTGTCGTGTGCTACATCCCAACTTTCAGCTCAAGAGCATCACAGCTTGCGAACTTCAAGTTTTACTACTTAAGCATCACCTGCAAACCAATCTGACAGAACCCTGTTCTGAGACGCCCTTATCTCATCTGCTGGAAAAAAGATCCAGCAGCAACAGAGCGCTGATGTTCACCTGCTCGTCTGCCATCCGTAGAAGCTCTTCATGTTCACGGCAAAGATCCCAGACCTGGCTGGGTCTGTGTGCAGACGGATCGATGGAGGTCCAAAAGGCTCGTCCAATTCCCTGCGGTGCAGCTTCGTGCAGTTTTCCAGGTCCACTGCAAGATTGGAAGGCTCTTTCGCGTCTCGAAGTGAGCATGCTGCAATTGAGCAGTCGCTGGAGACGGGCCATCAGCATGCACTTGTGGATAGCCACAAACACTGAAACTGAAACGGAGGCGTAGGGCTGACCAAGCCGTATCAGTTTGAATCAAAAAGATTCGTATGGCGTCTTTAGCATTGCGTGTCTTGTCTACTCCGTGCCTAGAATTGAGTTGGTTGGCTAAAATTGGTGTGATGTCAGGTGTGAAAACTCCAAAAGTCAAGCCTTTGAGGTCGAACGCCTCAGTTGAGTGTGACGCTGGGAGTCCAAACACCCAGCGATCGCCCGACCGAGGCATCTGACCGGAAAAACCCCGCGGACGTTTCTCGGTGCTAAAAGCCAATTCTCTGGCGCGGGGCCTTCTCTGGCTCAGCTGAATCCTCAATCCTGTGCAGTTCGATCCTGCCATGGGCGAGCAGAAGCAAGACTTCAAAAGAAACGAGAGAATCTAAACATATTCGCTCAACTGTTAACTGGTTAATTGCTTATATAACCCATTATAATCCAAATTTGGAAAGTGCCACATCTCTTCTTCTTCCCCAGCTCCTGGCATGGCCACTTTCTGCCTGTCCATCATGAGAGAAGCTCACGTTGCTTGGGGACTTCTTCTTCCCCATGTTCCTTTCTTCTTCATCGCGGTTTGGGTAGGGGTACTCCCAGGGTTGCTTGACGAAGCTCTTGAGCTCCTCGTAGTCATGGTCGCTGCGCGCCCCGAGGCCGCCCATCTGATCCAAAAGCCCACAATCACGATAAGTCTCGTCGTAGCGTGAGACCTTGCAATACCTGAGGACCTTTGCTGCACTGATGCTACCTGAGAGCTGCGAATCAGAACAAGAGGTGAGTTGAGTGTTGGAATGGAATGGAGTCAAGTTCAGTCTCTCTTTCAGGTCATCTCGACATGCCATCAATGGGAATACTTCAGGCAATAATATTCTATGAGTCTATGAATAAACCCAGATTCTCCTCTTTCACCTCCAAAAGTGGAACCTCTTCTGTAACAACATTCACTCATGCCATAAACCTCCATACTCTCCATATGTCGGTCCTTCAACATTCTTCTGCTCCTTCAGCTTTTCGTCCAAGCCTTCCGCTCGCGCGTTCACCCGAGGGGCTGTCGTTCCGGAAGTTGGCTCGCTCGTCGTCCACGAGAACCACATGCTCGAGCCTCAGATCCTTGAGCTTCGCTGCTAGGGTGCTGTCGCTCGTGAGCTGAGGAAACCAACGCTGTGGATGCCCTGCAACGTGGGTCCTCAGCGTACTCTCCTGCGAAGTCCCCTGTGAAACTATATCTTGATTGGGATTATATCAGCTGCCCTAGCAATCCAGGAACCAAATGATTGGTGCAAGCAAGCGGTTCTTCAAGGAAGCTCCCCCCCGCAGCTATCCTGCATCAAGTAGGTAGTAGCTTGCTTGAGCTACTAGCCTCCTCTTCCTCCTGGCGGCCAACCCCCCAACCCCGGGGAAAAAAAGACAAAATCCTTTGAGTCCCACTCTGCCTTACAACATGAGCTCAAAGGTGGTACATGTCATCTACTACTTTCGCCCAACGTTGAGATGACAGACATGTCGGATTCATGAAACCACCAACAAACGACAAGTGGCAAGACATCTGCTTTGTGTTGATGAACCTCGTTGCAAGGAGTTCTAAATAAATGCCACCTGCCATTCTCCCAAAAGGCACCATCGCAGTCACCTTGTGGAGCAGACATGCACCAAATTGTGCTGAAGTGTTCCAACAGGTTGGCCAAGGCCAGCAGATTCAGCACAGCCACCTCAAAAGGAAGGAAAAATCAGGTGAAACATCGTCCCTGGTGTCTGCCTTGTCATGCCCAACTGACCTCTCCGTCAGCTGTTCACATCTGTTCACCCAGCGAACAGTTAAGCAAAAAAGAACTGTTTCTACTAGCTTCTTGTTATTACTAGTAAGGCACTTGCTCCTAGTAGCGAGGCACTTGTTCCTAGTAGCATCCTTGTTTCTGAGCAAAAAAGACTAAGAAAACAAAAGGTGAATCACGTGTATCATCTGTTCACCCTAGCCGCCACTCCACTCCTGTTCTGGGTGAGGATCGCCAACGTGTTCTCTTTGGCGATTTCCTCGAAGAGTGCCCGGAGCTTCTGGACACGGCTTCCATCCACCCACGGGCTCTCGAAGTTGTACTTCACCTAGAGGTGTGAGCGTTTCACAGGGCTCTGTCCGTCACTTCTGGTCGATTTTGGTGCCTAGAAAGTTCCGGTTCAAATCATGGTACCATCCACTTGAAGCAATTCCCAGATACTTTTACTTTCATCCCACCTTCTTATCTCTCCTTCCCTTTCCCGACCCTCCTTCGAGGGCGCTTCCTTCGAAAAGAACGCCCGGCCGAGCCACGAGGTCTTCCTGGCTCCAGTCCTTGAACTCGGCCTCCGCGCCAGGCAGAGGGGATGAATGGAGACGAAACTGAAGCGAGGCTTCCAAGACAAAGTGACAGCTTGGTGCTCGTCCAACCCAGCTATTTTAGAAGCGAAGGCCATTTTCAGATGATCCATTTGAGGCAGCGCGCAGGTGGTACAAACATGATGACCCGAAACCAAACCACACACGCGGAACGCTGATGAAAATATATTCAAACGCAAATCTGGTCATAGACTAAACTTTGTAACTCTCTGTCAAGTTGTTGTCTCAATGGGCCAGAAATAAAGCAGAAAAGCCCCGGCCTCTGTTGGGTTCCAACCCACCTTGGTGGTGATGGCCTTGCTTCGGGGCATGAATGTCGCTAAGGTCAAGGTCTCATCAAAGTCGAAGACAACTAACTTCACCGGCGGATGTCGCTGAAAATCCGCAAAGTCCCGCTCTTGACACCTCACCTGGCTGATGCACCGCAGCGAGTTTAAGGTCACATACGAAAGGTGGACATGAAGGTGAACGGGTATGGGTGCAGGAAAGGACACTGGTGTGGGTTGCGCCTTCATGTACACCGCCGGAATGCGGTGGTCTTGAAGAGAAGGTAACTCTTGAATAAATGTTACTCATGCAAACGATACCAAATCCACCTCAAGAAGCCAACTGATGCTTCTCACAAGTTTATTCCCGGACCCTCGAGCCTGCATCGTCTCCTTGCACATCCATGGATCTTCCACAAAGCGCTTTAAGGTGTCGTAGTCCGCATCATGGTGGGCACCGATGCCCCCCATGTTCTTCACCATTCGCATGTCATAATACCTCACAGTGTTGAGCCAAAAGTCTCGATGTGCATTCACCAATTTATGCCTCAACCAGCCACAGAAAGTCGCGTCAGAAGCCTAGGCACAAGTCTGCATCGTATCGAGCCACTTTGCAGTAGCGAAGCACTGAAGCCCCGTATTGGCTCTGAAAGTTGGCCCTCTGGTCATCCACAAGCACGATGTTCCCCATTGACAAGCTTGCAAGGTCCTTGAAAGCCGCCTCGCTGCCTATCTGGGGAAACCACGCCTCGGGGTTCTTCGTCACGTGCGACAAAACGTCTGCTTTGTGATTTCGGACTTTGTCGGAGGGAGGGTCGAACAATTTCCATTGACCACTCCTTGGCTGCAGTCGTCGAAATCGATCCAAAACAATCGGAAGGACATGGCACTGAGCAGTTAGGTAAAGACCAATCGCCCAAAAGACCATGGAAAATGCTGGCCGACGACGAACGTCAAGGGAACACTTAGATCCAAGGCACTGGTCCTTGTATGCACCATTTGGCATGTACTGTCTCCATGGCATGGTCCAGACAGCACTGAAGTAGGTGTCAAGGCCAGCGATCTTGAGCATATTGATCACTGCTTGGACGCCCTTCCCATTGTTGGTCAGTACTGTCAAAGTCCTGTGCCTACCATCAGCACCTTCTTTGATTGATGCGAGCATGTGCTGAAGCTTGGCAATTCGGGACCCTTCCACCCATGGTGACTCGAAGTTGATGACTCTAGCAATATCTTTCTCCTGGCAGTAAATGAAAGAGAACACGCTGCTGGGCATCCAGTATTATCCAGTTGAAAGACATGCTTTTATCAGCACCCCGCCTCATCATCTGCATACTCGCAGTTGCCGGTCATGAAGGTAGCCAGTGTTAGAGTCTCGTCAAAGTCGAAAACTACAAGTTTCACTGGACAGTCCTGGAACCAGGGCTGTCACGGAATCCAAGCTGGAAAACTCGACTGGAGAAACCAGAACCAGACGAAAAACACACGTGCCGCACACACGTGCCTTGCTGACCTCGCTGGGCGAGATGCGCTCCGCGCATCTCAGCCGGAAGGTCGCCCTGAGACTCGCTCGCTCCATGGGCCGTGATCGGCTGGGAGCCGCGGAGACCAGCCGACGCGTTGAAACCGACCTCGCGGGCGACGCTCGAAGCTCGGAGCTCCCGGGCGGGTGGAGCCCCAATCGAGAGGACTCAACCACACCGGAGTTGCACCGGTGGGGCCCGAATTGGGGAGCTGAATCTTTCAGGTGTGAAATCTGTGAGACTTGGGGGTCTGAAGGTGTTCACTCTGAAAGGCAGATTTCACAGATACCGGAAAGATTCAGGGATGAGCTTTTTGGTGTATTTTGAGTGTTGTGGTTTTGATTTCCCCTTACAAAACAAAGCATAGCCAGAGAACTCTTCAATACCACTGCCGCAAATCCACCCGTGAAATGTTTCCTTGATGCTGCTGGCTTGGCCCATGGCGATGAAACGGGCCCACAGCCTACCACGAGGGCTGAAGCCAGTGGTCCGGCGAGGCGGCGGTTCATTGGATAACACGCTGCTTTTAAAAAGATGCCAATCACATAAGAGACTCTTCATAGAGACTAGCACCACAAGGGTTTGAGTTCCTTTTGTGTTCCTTTGTTAGGTTTTGAAACATATATATAATGTTCACCATGCATTGCACGATCCATCTCAGCGTGCGGATCGAGACCAATCGATCTGAGCGACATGCTGCGTCAGGACTTCCTTGTGCACACCCCCTGGAACTTGCGCCCCAGATACCTCAAGCGGCAAAAGGCAGCAAAGCAGACACTGCAGAACACTTGCATGCGAGACCAGAAGTGTCACTGCGTTATACATTCTTCATGCATGTTCAAGCACTAGGTCAGCCACTCGCAGCTTCTTTAAGGGATCCAAAATGGAAGGCTCCAACCATATACAAGGCCACCTCGGTGAATGAACTTCACATTGGCATAGGCCTCCTCAACTGAGCTTCTAGCTGTCTTGGATCCAAGTCATTGTGGCCGGTATCAATCCCAGAGACCTCACTGCTTTGGGAGAAGCAGGAACAAAATCAGAATTTGTAAGCAATCTGTCTAAGCTTCGATCCGAAATGCGAGACTCTGCTGAGTCAGACAAGTCATCAGCTTTCAGAGCTAGTGCTCGTTGCTGGACATCGGCTGAAATCCGCTTCGTCTCGCGGGAGCAGTGCTCGCTGGTCGTTTGTGCGATTCCCGAGAACGAATTCATCTCGTTGAGAGTATCATGCAAACCAGACTCAAGGCTCATTGCAGCAGAATGGGAGGCTTCTGCGGCTTGTTCCGCCAAGGCCAAAATGCCCTTCAGCGTCTTACTGGATCTGCGGCTTGAAATGTCTTCGGTGATGCTGGAAGCCAATGTGCTGTTGAATTGCGCCTCAAAAAGGACATATGCGCACTGGATCTATAAAACTTACTTAGGCAGCAAAAGGTCTACAAGCTGCAAGCCTTGCCTGGCCTATGAGGCAAAAGAAAACAAATCACAAACAACGCTGAACACCACCTTTTTTGTCTTTTTGACTAAAAAAGGCTGACTGGTCGCCAAGGGACCGGTTTCCACTCGGTCTCATCCGGTTCGGGCTCAGACTCTGATAGACCCAGCGAGGTGTCCACGCTCAGGTGCATTGGGTCGACGCCGTCCCTGGCGCGCAGAGATGGAGCAGGCGAAAAACACTGCAAAACAATCCAACCAATACAACCTGAGGCACTGAAGAGACTTAGTACTCAATGAGTTTGGGCCATCATCTGAAGATGAAAAGCTGAAAAGACCCAAGGAAACATCGTTGTTCTGTGTGTAACCCTTGGGTCCAAAGGGGACCTTCTTGTTTTTATGTTATTTCTTGTGTCTATAGTTCTACAGCCCGGGGCAGGAGCACCATTGCAAACCTCCTGCCAACAAAGACACTTGCAACTGGTGGCGAACCAGACCTGATCAGTCCGGCGTACCTGCTGTGTTTACCACTTACTTCCTTCTGGGCCCCGTTCGTTGCTAGAACAACAACTCTGGCTCTTGCGTCTGTTTGAGTCGGCCGTCGCGCAGCTTTCGCTTTTCTGTGAAAGCTGAAACTTGGCGCTTTACTACTTTGGCCCTTTGCGATTTTTCATGGTTGGACTCCTTTGCACTCGCTTTACCCAGGAACTTCTTTGGCATTGGAGCATTCAGACCGTGCGTACGTTTTCCCAAGTAAGTCCGAACAAAGCGACCCTGTTCAAACGAAGGTCTTCTTGCGTACTCAGCAGGATTGGTGTAGAGGCAGTGACGCAACACCAGCAATCCAACCCATTGCCTGGCCTGGAATTTGGAGGCCAGGAAGGCGATTACGCTGCTCATGGCTTCAGAAGTTTCATGGTATATAGATCAAAAAACCGAAACCGTGCAAACCCGAATCTGCCAAGCATGGGCTAGAGACAAAGCACGAAAGAAGAACAGCAGCTTTTGGTACACCTTTGCCATGTTCCACCGCATCCAAACACGTCCAAGACCAGACTGTCTTCAGCTGGTTGGGCTGGAAATTTGGAGTGTAGTCTAGCTACTGAGAAAAACAGACAGATCGCAGCAAAGGTTTTTGTGGCATTCCACACAAGCTCCTGCTTCCAGGAGTGTGTTTCCACGACGTTTTACGTCCATGTGCCACTTAAATTGGCTGTTACACATGATGGGTGCCTTCTCCGTCGAACGCTTTGAGTCCAAGAAAACTTGCGCCTTGAAAATGTTGACAACCATACACGGTGAGTGAACACTGGATCTTTACCGAGACAAAGCCCGAATTGGCACCTGCATAAAGTTGCATCGAGTACAACCCTGGCAACGCGTGCGTACGGCACCCGTTTGCCATGTTTCGAAGGCTGGCAGGCTGGCAGCTCGACCAACAAAGCTCGTGTTGACATGAAAGAGTCAACTTGGACCGAACGTGTCAAGCCCTTGGAAGGGTGGTCCGAACCATCTGCGTCAGCCAGTGTCCCTTCTCCTTCCAAAGGAGTCTCATTTGCCGGCAGCCAGCGCAAATGGGCTGCAGCCATTCAGGTTGTAAAACCTTGGACAGAAGACACAACAACAGTATACAACAGTTAGGTTTGTCGAGACTGATAGCAAACTCAGGCTCCTGATATCTGTACTTTGCCACACATGACCCACCTGATTGGTCAATTAGAGCAACATAGCATGTCTCTGCTCTTCAGCAGACACGTTGATTGCGTCTCGCGTACACTCGTGAACTATGCATTTATCCATTTCGGATGCTGCAATCGGTGGTCTTGGACACAACTCCTTCAATTTGGAGTCTCACAGCCTCCAAAGCCCATGAAAGAAAAAATCACGCAGCACCAAGGCTTCTTGACCACACACGTTTAGCTATGCACCCGGCGCTTCCGCATAACGTGAGACATCTGAGCTGCTTTTCGGCCTGGGAACTACCCGAGCAAAGTAGTCATGGAGTTTTGCTTGAACGTTTCAGACACATCGACTGGGACATGCTAGGGTTGAACATAGGCCACACGAGAAACGACCCGAAAAAGCATGCATTGAACGGTGAGGTGGACGCCCACCTGCGCCATCTCGGATTGTTCAGCTTCTTCAGATCGGGCAACGGGTCCTTTTCAATGAACAGCCAGGTTGTGAAGTATCACCAAAGGGTCCTAAAACTCAGTCACAAGGTTGTCTTCACACTCTTTTCTTGGATATCGCTCACGAAAGGGAAAATAGATAGATAGGTAGGTAGAAGATAGATACTGTAGATTGATAGATAGATAGAGAACTCACATTCCAAAACGGGATGTGTGGTTCGACTCCCCGATGCTTCAAGAATCCCCACCTCTTTTGGCATCGAAGGAGCTGACAGAGTGCGCTTCAGAACCCATTCCTTGGTCAACAAACGAAAAATGAATCATCATCCATTCCTCTTCTCAAATCCTGCTAGAACATTGTGTGTTCAAAAAATATGTTCTAAGTATATGTCTTATCTGGCTTGAAGTAGTTGGTTTTTTAGGATTCACCACAAAGCACCAATACCTGTTTTGCTTTCGTCCATTCTGGTATATCTGCTTGCTGAGGAGTGTGCATTTGCGGGAGTCGTAACCTGAACAAAAAACACAGATGCCTCTTAACATGATGTGCTCTGCCAAGGGTGCCACAGACAACTGTGTATATGGCTGAGTCCTGAAAGTCTGAAAGCAACATTGAACTATATAATATGTTTACAGGATATAGTAGCTCCTGGCATTACTAGTTTGCAAGAAGCTACTAGGTGGAGGCCATCGCTACTAGTAACAAGAAGCTACTAGTAGGAAGTGCAAGTGGACCACTGAAAAGTCACAAGCTCCTTGTTCTTGTAGTGCAATACAGGCTGCCTGGCAGGGGACCTTGCGATGTGAGGCAGGCGGATGGATCCAGGTATCATGATATCTGAAGGTATAGGGAATCACAGCTTGATGGCATCCCGCCTCTGGCACCAAATGATGGAAATGGGGTACCGCTAAGACCTTACCAGAGACCTATGGTTAGAGCGTGGATGCCATCAAAGTGTGCTGTGTTGTGACTCTGCAGTTTGAGGATTCCGTCGCCCACATGTGAACAGCTCCTTTTCGCGATTACTGAGCTGTTGCTGAACCACTCAGACTCAGGACATCCTTCCATCCAAATGAAAACTGAAATAACAACATCAACATACAATACATATAGGGAATCACAATTTGATGGCACACCATGATCAAAGATGCCATCAACCTCTTTGCTGCACACATGTTTGCATGTAAATCCAGCCGGTGGTTGAAGCCTTTTGAAGGATCTAGCCTCAAGTGGTTGATGCCATTTCCAAAGTAGAGATCACAAATTGATGGCAGCTCAAAGGTGTTTTGCGAGTGCCATCCAAGTGTGATTCCCTATACCTTCGGCTTCTACAAAGATCCAGACACATCCGCAAAAACGAACGAAGCAAAGGTGCCCAGTCGTGCGCTGCATGAGATCCAACACTTGGTTCAAGGAGACAGACGTGCCCGGCCCAAGCTGGACAATTCTAGCCCATGCCACATTCTTGGATCCCTTTCGCATTTTGCAACGACAATGCAGACTATCTGCACAGCCTTTGGCTGTGCAGCCTCAGGAAACAGAGAAAAACAACCTCACTTGTGTCGGTTTCCCTCAGGAAGGGCCATAGCATTGTCATCGAATCTCATGCGGAACTGCATCCGGCACTCCACTAAATGTCGAGCTTGCTCGTAAAAGACCTTAGGTCTTGGGTAAACAGTACCAGCCAGCCTGTAAGAAAATGGTGTGGCAAGGATGCAACGATGCAATCTCAAATGCTGGCAAGCTGCAAAAATGAAAAGGGTTTGTGGACCCAGGCGGACGTAGTTGGCTAGCCAACCCTTCAGCACAAATGACTGTCAAGTGTGCAGTTTGAGTTCACGGTACGTTAGCAACTGCGATTGCACATACGGCACCTTGAAGAAGACAAAAGGGCCATGTGCTCGAAGCATTGCTGATACATCCGATTCGGCTGAACTCATTGCCTGCACAGGAGCCGTCTGCCGTGCCGTCTGCCTGGTCCTGCTTGGTCCTGCCTTCGTCTTCAAAACATCCACGGGTGCAGTGACCTTGAACCGGGGGACCAGGCCAGTGGCCAAACCACCGAAACCACCGAAAGGCGAGAGCAAGAAAGAATTGAAGACTCTCTGGGCTCCTAAAAGTATCATGACCGAGTTGGGGTTGTGGTCATGGTCTGGCCCCCGAAAAACAACCCCCATTAGAATGAAAATAACTGTGGGGTGCCTCAACATGATAACATCTTTGAAGCTGTCACAAACTTCGCAACATAAAAGTTCGGGCAAAGTTGCAGTTGTAGTCACTAATCCTGCCATCAAGCTTGCGGCAACATGGAGAGCACCTCCTGCAAGATCACCAATTAAAGATGTATATAATATATATATATATACATATTGCACAAAGTGCTGCGAGCGGAAGCGACTCGAGCGGCTCATGTGTTGTCCTTCTGAAAATCCACACCATTGCTGTAGCGCCGTCTTGGCATGTGCCTGGATGGGGAGAAAGGGCTAGTCAGCGAATAGCTTGGATCATCGCAGCCAAGTCAAAGCTGGAAGTCTGTACCAACAAACGAGCAAAGTGCTTTCAGCATCACAATAGCCATGCCATGCTTCTACTAGACATGGTTGTCATATGTTGTCATGGTCATTGATGTGAAAAGGGAGTGGCCAGAAAGTGTTATAAAGTGTCACAGCTCCACTGTTGGCAGCTAGACAGAAAAACGATCAATTGCTTGTAACCTGACTCTGCAAGAAGCATCAACTCAATCAAGTCACATAGGGCACAACCTGGCTAAGGGTGAGCAAGGACGAGCGGGTGGCAGCCCAGCCAAAGCCACTGGCCAAAACCAGGCAGCCCTCAGTCTTCAACATGTCTCGAAGAACTTGCAGCTCTCCTCGGCCTGGCTCCGCTTGGAGCCGCACCTTCAAGACCTCAGGACGGACACCAGCCGCACAAAGCAAGCTGGCTTCGGTCCATCTTCGAGCCGCTTAAGCAAGCGATAAGCGTCATAACCCAGCCTCGAAAGGATTCCCGACCACCGTGGCCAAGACGCCAGCCAGCAGTGCGCCACCGGAGCGCCCTGCTTTCTCTTGTAAAGGCTCGCAAAGGCCGATGCGCACAGAGCCATAGGTGGCAGCACGGAGCGAAGCAGCTTGAAGTCCAGAAAACAAGGCGCCCACACCTGCCAGACAGGAATCTTGCGTACTGTTGAATGTGCTGAGCACAATCCTGGAAAATATGTTGACATCAATTGCCTACATACATTCCAGTCTTGGGATAAGAATTTCCAAAGCTTGCCGTCCTCAACAACAGTTTGGCCAACCCAGAGACACCTTGTCGGTGCTGGAATTTCGCCCAGAAACTCACAAAACGCGTTGCGCTGAATGAGTCAGCTTTGGCACAACTTTTCTCTGCCATCTGAAGCTGAACTTTGACCACGTCGATTGGGTGTGTCAGTATGGTAGCACCAACCACCGCTGCGCCGCTAGCAAAGAGGTTTTCGGTCACACTCAACTTCCTGCAGGCCGGTTGAATTCTTCCAGCTCAACTACACTTTGCGTCAACATATTTCGGTTGGAAGTCCTCCCAGGGTGGCTCGCCATGTGGAAAATGCAACCGCCAAGGATCCAAAGTCCAACAAAAGCTATCGAATTCTACTTTGAGATGTTGCTTAGGCTGCTGACTGCAATTCAAAATGAGTCTGCTTACGTTTGGCATCTCTGACTTGGAGCCGATATGACTTGAACTTGATCCGCAAGCTTTGTTTCTCGTCTGCACGACGGAGACCAAAAACACTTGCAGCAAACCACACTTTTCAGACCGAGGAGTCGACTCAAGGCGCCCAGGCTGCCACTCCGCCCTCAGAGTGACGGATCGCGAGCGTTCCAGGGTAGACAAGACCAAACTCGCTGGTTCCCTCAAGTCCTCACGATTCCTTCAAGCTTGACAAACCCAGGGAAGGGCCGGAAGGGAAAAAGTCAAGCACCCATTGTTTTTGAGGCCCTGGCTCATCTCTGTGGCCGGCGGAAGCATCCTTGGAACTCGCAAAGTTCGGAGAAAAGTGATCTGAAAGGGCAAAGGGCGCGCCAACTGTGTGTAACGAGCGCATGCAGCTTTTTCCTGACCGGCATGGACTTAGCTTGACACGTCTTTGAATGAGTAGGACTCTCTAACAGCCAGCCTGAATGACAAAGGCCAAATGTATCAGTACAAAGCACACCGAAACAGCGCCGTTTCTCATGGGTCGTGTGTGCACCAGGCAGAGTTGGTCTAAACATCCAACATTTTGCACAACGAAGCTTGAACATGTGGGTTGTTGAACTTTTCTGAGGCTGTCCCAGTTGCAGAACATGCTTTGCATGCTGCAGGTGATGAGAGACGAAGTCGTTAAAGGAAGCCACCTTTTGCACCTTCACTGTTATCGACTAGGTGCGTGGGCTTTCAGGGAGCAAAACTTGGCTCTGCCAAATAGCAGATTCAGCTGCCTACAATACACACGGAAACGGAGCCCTGCCGAACGTCTGAAGTTGTGTGGGTAGTGTCCTCTCTCCTCTGCATAAAAAGACCAATCTGCACAAGGTGAAAGTGGCATATGGCGGTACAGGAGCTCGCCTTCCTACCTACGAAAGACCATACAAATTTGTCATTGTCATGCAGAATGAATTCTCCGGCCAAAAGAGAGGACCACCGCGTCCCAATCCGCGCTTTGCATATCTGGTGTCTGCTGACACTGACCTCACGTATCAGCAGAACAGCGCACCAAATTGGATGGCTTCAACTGAGGACCACACTTCAGCTTCTTCTTACCTCTGGGTAGATGTTGCATGGGCAAGCCTTTCAGGTATGTTCTAGCATAAGAGCTATTCTTAGATGGCAAGTCGATGTTGACAACTTAAAGACACAGTGGCCTCGTTGCAAACCCACTCCTTCCGTGGAGAGCTTGGGTAGCTGGGGAAGCTCTTCCATGCTACGAGTCACAGGAGCTCGGCCATACATCGTTTGCCGCCTTGGTCACTCGAACGTTGATGCACACAACCTGTTAGTGAGTCACTCAATCAACGAATCATCATGGGAGTGCTGGAACAGCAACGGTGCAGCAAAGGATCATCTCATCTGCACGTGGCAGCCGGAGTTGCTTCTCGGCCAACTGCTCAAAGGGTGCTTTTGCAGCAAAACCCTGGCCCTGGTTGATTGAAGCGAATGCATCTGCAGGGCCGGGAGGATTTAAAAAGAAGAAAACTGTTGTTGCCTTCTGCGGAAAAAGAAACGTCAACATAGTTTGGTCTTGAGATGTCTTGGGCCAGCTTGCCTTCCTTTCGCTTCCGCCAGCCTGGCTTTTGACCCTTGTTGACGGCAGTGGTGAACTGCACTCTTTGCAGAATTCGCTTTGGGCCGTCATTGTCCCTGACACATCGCTCAAAACTGTTTTACGGTGCTGAAGGGCCAAATGTGTAGCCAATAGAAGCAATCCCAAAGACTACTAGACAAATAGAAACAAGTACAGTACAAATCAAGAGCCAAATATAATCCAGGGAACGTTGTGGTGTCCAGGAAGTTGCCGCCAAATGAGTTCCCATCAAGTTGAAGGTCGGCTCTTGTACGTAAATACCACCTGACTCACCGCAACTCGTGCAGTGGCATGCTTTCCCAGAGCTGAAAACAGGGTTGAAACTCTTGGTTCAGGATCTACAAAAACGAACCACATCCGCTCCTGTCCACTGGACGAACTGGATATCCTTCACCTGTTACACTTGTAGACAGCTCGTGTGCCCTGGCCATTGCAAGTAATCCGTTAAATCTGTTTTGAAGAAACCCAGTGCAAGTTTTTCGGCCTCATACGATTTCAGTGTTGCGGCTGATTTGCTGTGAAACAACTTTTTGTTGTTTGCCCGAACAAATGCAAACAAATATGACAAGCTTTGAGCCAGCCAGGCGAACAACTGAAAGGGTACAGAATCTGCGCATCGGCACGTGGGAACACTTCCCCGGACTTTAGAACAAGCAGGCCTAGTTCTTGAGCAGTGGTCATTGGATTGTCAAACCTGAGGCTCGAGAATTGCTCAAAAGAACTGTGCTCTTTGACAGACAAAGTTCCTTGCCAACACACGTCTTGATCTTCTTCCTCGAACCTGTATGTTTTTCATAGTGATTACAGCACCAGATCGGTCGGCGCACTTCTCTTGCGGTTTTCTGCTCATGTGTTTGATCGCCAGGACCTGGACACCGAAGCTGATCGTTGCTTGATGTGGGATCGGATTTGCGTCACCAACGACCAAGGACTTGTCACGGAGATGCTCTGATTGCCACATCACCTCGAGAGCGCCTCCATACTGGTTGGATCCATGCCCTCCGCTGACATTCTCTGCTGAGGCGACTGCTTAATTTCCTGGCGGCAGCAAAAGTGGATGAAAGCCATTGAAAACCCATTGGTTGTGGCTCTCCTCTTTTTGAAACATGTATCGATGTACTTTTCTCTCCTTCTCCACCACAGTCTCAAGGCGATTGTGAGCATGCCTCAACTCATCGACCCTGAACCCCGTCGGAGCTGCGACGCGAAAGCCGTGAGTGGCATAGCTCCAACAATGAAACACCACACTCAGGGAAAGGCTTCAAGTGCAGGAAGCCGCCGCTGGCACTGAGTTGGGCCAAGTTCATCTGAAAGCCAGACTTTGGGCCTCTCACAGAAAAAAGTGGTCTAGCTAGAGGAAAGACTGCAATTCAAGTCCACTTTCGACGCATCAGTCAGTCCGGAACCGCCCTTGACGCGGCTCCTGCGAGACGCGATTCATTCTCCTTCCTGATGCGGTCCTTCCAGGTGAACTCCACCTGGCAAAGCTATGAAAAACTCCGCACAACATCTGACGTTCCAAAGTTTGTTAACATCTGAGGACGGAGCACGAACGCGGCTAAACCTGAAGCACAACACGCGCTTCTCGGTGTTAACAACATAGATTTGTTTGTAAGTTTCTAAGGCGGCAGCTGGTTGTACATCAATCCCCCTGATGGATCTTGCCGTTCCTCTCCCATGTTGGCCTGGCAGAATCGTCGCCATCACAAAAACATACATACATGTTTTTTGGGCAGATTGCTAACTTTGCATCACCTTGTGCGAACCAATGCTCGTCAAGGCAAGGGGGCAACGTCTAAAATGCTGCTAAGCCGGACAAAGATGGAACATGCCACGGTATGCTGCAAGACTCCACGTACTATCAGTACAAGTAGTTTTTGCACAAATGTTATGTTCAAACCAAACCCACAATGCAAGGATGATTCAAGGCCATCTGCTGTAATTTCCTTAGACTGAAGCGGCTACATTTCTTGAGCGTCGCTGCCATGTGTTGGAAAAATTGCGGTTCGAATCGAAAAATGTTGAATGTCTATATATCTACTTCGGAACAAACCCCAATAGCACTCATCAATTCTGCAGTGCTACCAGTTGAGTACTGTCGTCACCTTTGCAATGCCATTGATGTCAAATGTAATTCAAGGTTTGGAAAATGGACTGTTTCCTTGTTAGGTAGCTCGCTCTCCTTTTGGACCGACGCGCTTCGGTACGAAGTGATAAGAACAGATACTACACACATCAAGTGTCCTATACAAACTGCACATCAAAGCGGACATGTGGAATCTAGAAAAAGTTTTACACGCCGCCTCAAACACAACCGAGTTAGGATGTGTTTGCTTCCTTTTCTGTACATTTGACCAAGCACCACTTTCTGCTAAGTGGTAAAGGTGAAGTCCGCTTGGCCTCTTCTACATACCCTGTATGTAAAGTTCCGGCATAGTTCATGCCATTCCGACAAAAGCATTTGTGGATTCTCGACCTGTCATCAGTTCAAAAACTGTCAACAATCGTAGTGCCATAAGTGATCCTGGTTCAGCTGTTGCAGGAATCACTTTCATGCAAACATTGTAGGTTGCTGGTTCAGCTGGTTTCAGCAAACCTACCACCACACGCATTGGAATTTGAAATTGAGACTTGAAATCTGTAAAATCCAACCATTGCTCAATGTCCTGTTGACCCGCTTGGCTGCTCCGGTTCATTGTTGTCTTCCGAGTCAGATGAATAGTGGTGTAAATTCATCCACATCTCTGGATCTGAAACTTCATCCAACGTGGAATTGAGATAGCGGCCAACACGGGTATCTCGCTATCAGGGATATCACTTCCATCCCCTTCTTCTGCATCTCGATCAGGCCTTGGCATGGCCTTCGCCGCCTCGCTTGGAACTTCCAAACTTCTCCCTGGAACTCTGTTCTGGCTAAAATAGCCATCATCCTCCTCCATGTTGTTCACCATGGTCTCGATCAACTCTGTTGGTTCGGCACCCGGCTCATCCAACTCTGGTACCTCGGGTGCCTGTGGACTTTCCTCATCAACGGACAAATCTGCCATCTGCTGACAAAACCGATGTGCTCTGAGTCTTGCTAACTCACCTGGTCGTTGCTCCAAAATCATCAATGTTGACCTTAGAATCTCTCGACGTTTCTCATATTTCTTTCTCTCTTCTTCTGTCATCCTTCCAGCTCTTCGTTCAATTCTCCTTTCTACCCTACCCAACATCCAGTAGGTGAACCACTCTGGTGACCAAACTGCCCATCTT